TTATGTAGGGTGCTGTTATCATCTCTGTGTTGCCTATGGGGGAACTAAAGTACAGAAAGATTTAGTAACTCACTAAAGCTCACACAGCCGGTGAGGGAGGGGCAGGGCGTGGAACACCCCCCCTTCCTCTTGTCAGCTTGACGTGGGCGAGCCTGGGAACCCAAGTGCCATCTCCTAACACTGTCCCAGTGGAGTACTCTGATTCCAGAACCACTGACTCACAAATGAACCTTTGCAAACATCTGCAATTAGAGCAATTTCCTGTCTGGCCTTGACACATGGAGTAAAGGATTCACTCTACTCTGTGCTTCTGTTTATAAGACAAAGGGAAAATGTCTGGGCACCTGAAAGCTCTCTTCCCAAATCCTGGCTTTTATGACTTCTAAAGGAAGGAGCAGCCAGGTCTGATTGGCTCAGAAAAAGCTGGAAATCAAGATTGAGGAATCATAAAGTCAGCTGTAGCTAGAGTCAAATCACTCAAGTTTTAGGGACAGGGAGGGCCTCCGGGTGCCCCTCACAGAGGTGGAAACTTTGGCACTAGCTGAAGGGATCTCCTGCCAGAACTGTGGGTCTCACCTGGCAAAGATGGGCCTGGAAGTTTCTCCAGCTTCCTGAGACCCAGGCTGTGCAGTAAATATTCCATTATGCTGGGGTGCAGAGGGCCCCTCGTCCACCAGACTCACTGGCACTCCCCCAGGCTGAGATGCTGAGACGCTACCTTCCCCAGGGACATACCCCAGCCACACCTGTCTCGCCTCTATTACCATGCCAAAGGGGTGGCTGCCCAGAACTCTTTTCCTGTCTCAGGCACCATGCTCCTGCCACCTCTGCCAGGTTCCTTTCCTGCACAAATTGGTCTCCATTTGAGCATGGCAGGCAATTTTAGGTGACTCAGGGTGGTTTTGAGCTTTGGTTCGTTGATGAGGAAACCTCCTGTAGGTGTGCAGCTAGACTGGGCTGCCACAAAATACAAGCTCGAATGACTCCTGGGTAAATCCTCTTTTTTTTTTTTTTTTTTTTTTGCTGTCACTATTTTGGCAGGCTCTGTGCACGCCCCTCTCAGGGACACTATAGCATTGATCCCCAGGGAGTGTCATTAGTGCCTTAGCTGTTCAAGGAAGCTTGTTGAGTGCATTGAGAGCGGCTGCTGCTTTTTCTTTGACGGGTCACCAGAGCGGACCAGTGTCCTGCAGACAGAAGTTTTAGATTTGGTCTCATGATTTAAGGGTGTGGGCGCAGATCAGCCCACTTGGGTGCAAATTCCAGATCCCCCACTCACTGTGGGATCTAAGTTGTGTTGTCTGTAATTTGCAGCGGTACTTATCTCAGGGCTGCAAATGGGCTTTAAAAGGGGTGATGCAGTGCTTAGTACAGGGCCCTGTGCACAGTGACTGTCCAGTCTCTGATGCACACTTGTTATTGGATGGATGTGCAAAAGGCCTGCTGACCCTGGTGACAGAATCTATCGTAACAGATCATGTGACACTGAGTTGGGACCAAGAAGTGGACAGATGCCCAGCTCCTCTGGAATGAGTCATTGTTGTTTGGGTGGAAGTGGACCCCCCCCCCCCGAAAATCACACACACCCATGTTTTATTGTACATACAGAACTCTTGCCACAGGCAAGCTGAGCGACTTGTCATCTGTTGTCCCTGCTTCTGTCCTCTTCCTTCCTGAAATCCACTCCTGCCAGGAATAGCCCATGTACTCTCCACCCCAGCCTCAGCTGAACCCCCTCCCTCCTAGCATCTGGCTTAGCATGTCCATTTCCGGTTCCGAGATCTTATTAGTTTATCCTTTGAATGAAAAGCCAGAGCTGGTGAGATTGAGAAATAATGGAAGTATCAGAAGACAGCAGAGGAGAGATTTTACAAATGAAGTCGCTTAGCAGAGTGTTGGTGTTGGGAGCTGGCAAGCAGGCTGTGTGTGGACATTTTTGAGAGTTAAGTAGAAAAATGTTCAAACTCATTGCGTTCCAAGTCAAGGGGACTTCAAGGATCTGATAAGTACAGTCATATCTAAATGCAGAAGTTCAGTGTAAGAAATCTTATCCATGAATTGAAGACTGAGTTATAGTGCATCCATTTTTAAAGGGTCATGAAATCAGAAAATCATCATAAGTGATAATATATTTTAAACACTTTACTTTACCTTAAGCCAGAAAGGTGTACACTTATTCCTCCATTTTGCTGTAGGGTCCAGGCCTTTTCTTCATGTTTGGATGAGCCGTTTAGAATCCCTTTTCTTTTTTGTCTAAGCCACACTCAAAATGCATTGTCTTAGGACTTCCGGTTTTAGTTCCTGGGAACAAGGGCTTACACTGTGGCGTATCTGAATGCAGAATCCCTAGAGAGTTATTATTTTTTCCATGGTCTTTAATATTCCATTGGACAATAAGGTATTACTCACCTTTATGAAGTCTTTACCAAGCGTTCAACTTGATTTTCTTTTTTTTTTTTTAATTTTCTAGAGGCATGTCTTATTTATTTATTTATTATTTGTTTGTTTGGTTTATACATGCACTGGGTACAGTCAGAAGCGCGGGAGGGTGAGAGAATTCACCAGAGCCAGAGCGGGGAGCAGAGCAGGCAGAAGGACCGAAGGACACTGCTGAGGGGAGCAGCGGGCGGCAGGAGAGGTCTGCGCGCCATGTGGGACCCTCCTCCGGTGGCCGGGGAGCAGCCGGGGATTGAACCGGCTGCAGAGGTTGCAGGCAGCTTCGCAACCCAGCGCTCAACCGCTGCGCCACCGGGGAGGCCCACAACTTGATTTTCTTAAAATCAATTCTTGATTTTAAGAGTTGAGCTTGTTTTGAGCACGGGTCTTTCATCAGCTTGCACCTTATCTGAATTACATGATGATCGTGTAGATAGATCTAGAAGGTCGGCTGTATTGGAAGGGCCCTGGGTATGGCCATCAGGTCCCGTGAACCCCAGCCTTGAATGTTGACAGTCTTTCATTTCTGCTTCTTCCCTAGTGTCAGAAGAGACCTACCCTGGAGACTTGTGTTTGAATTAAATGGGAGGCATGGAATGTAGAGGATCCAAATAAGGATCAGGGAAAAAAAGTTATTATAATAAAGTGAAAATCAAAATCAACAAGCAACTATAAACCAGAGACATTCTGCAGGAGCGGAGAGGGGAGTAGGATCAAAATGGGTGGGGAGAGCACAACAGACTATGGTGATGGTACATGGGCGACTTGGTGCTGGGACGTTCACGGGCACTGTAGCTGAGATGACTATACATTGTAAAAAAAAAGAAGAATGATGTAAAAAATATATTAAAAAATGAATAAATAAAATTTGAATAAATAACTAAATAAATGGGGGGCATGGCCGCCCCGCCCCGCCTCTGCCTGCCTTCCAGGACTAATACAACACTTTGAATTCACTCACATAGAATCCCATCTGTAGGGGGCTTTGTGAAATTCTCCCTATAAGACTTAAAAGAAATTAAAATTCCCTTTACTAGATTAACTTCCTTAGTGAAGGAGTTCTAGATCAAGGTCCAACAATTAAAAGACCATGTTAGGGCCTCCCCGGTGGCACAGCGGTTGAGCGCTGGGTTGTGAAGCTGCCCACAGCCTCTGCAGCGCTGGTGCGATCCCCGGCTGCTCCCCGGCCACTGGCGGAGGGTCCCACATGGTGCGCAGACCTCTCTCGCCGCCCGCTGCTCCCCTCAGCAGTGTACTTCGGTCCTTCTGCCTGCTCTGCTCCCCGCTCTGGCTCTGGTGAATTCTCTCACCCTCCCGCGCTTCTCACTGTACCCAGTGCTTGTATAAATAAATAAATAAATCTTAAAAAAAATAAAAAGACCATGTTAAATCAGCAGATTAGAATAAAATCTGAAGCCATTGATAGTGATGTTGCACATAAGACCCTCCCTCTGGTCCTGTCCACCCCACTGCTAAACCAGGCATCAAAGAGAACAGGAACATAAATTATCTCTTGTTCTCCTTCCAGCCTGCGGCCCAGTTTTGTATTTTCCCAGAAAGGCTGGATGAGGTCTTGGGGCCTGGTCTGCAGTTGTCCTACCCAAGTCCAGGGATGCACTTTCATCCTTGTGTCTCCCTCCCCAGACACAGGGGCATTAGAAGACCCCCGGGTCCATAATTGTCGGTCAAGTGCTCTACAGCCCACACAGAATGCCAGGAAGGAAGTGCTGGGGAGGCCAGTCCGTGGAACCCTGGAGCTGTGCCGTCCCCCGGGTAAAGGACAGCCCTTCTCCCGTGTCGAGCCAGTGTCCTAAATTATCTGTGGACAGAGTTGTCCTGGATCAAGTCCAGGGCTGCCATTGATTTATAGGTCATTTCAAAGGTGCTTATTTCTAACCTTAATTGGTCAGTGACACTAAACGATTGTCTTACCTCACCCCCTCCTCCTATGGCCTACCCCCCCCCAAGACTTATTGATGATTAATAATCTAAAGCCAAATGCTTAAATGCCCAAGGGAAGTTTACAATTCAAAGAATCTGGTTGTCTGGCTGTGTGTGTCTGGCTGTGTGTGTGTGTGTGTGTGTGTATATACATGTGCATATTAAATGTGAATATTCACAACCTTATTTATGTCTGGATTTTTTATATTGGGTTTGTTGAAACCTCAATAGCTATTTCAGCTCTGGTATTGATAATGTACCAGAACTTAATCAACATATAGGTGTATACGACAAAGATCATATACACTAATACAACAGCTGTCTGCAGCCAGCTCCCCTGCACTGGTAAGAACCATGGTGTAGATTCATACGACCTGTGCCTTTCAAAGCTGCCCATTGCCAAGAACCACCGGGAGAGCTGTTTGGAAGACTCGCCAGCCCGGTGCCACCCACATTAATCTTGTCTTTGCCCTGAGAGTGGAAATGTTCCTCAGACCCCACCCCATGGCGGGCAGTTCCGCTTCTGCCTCTGCTGTCTCTGCAAGCAGCTTAGAGACCAAGGATTTCCCAGAACATCCCTAAATCTGCTTGAATAATGGAGCGATCATTCAAACTCACCTGAGCCTTTTATAAACCGGTTTGCTCTTCTCCCCAGGGCTAATCCCAGGATAACACGCCCTGGCTTCTCCCCACTGGGTCCAGGCCTTCCTGCTCTAGTCAGAAGTCCCTTCCTTCTTAGCAGTGACTGATGGCTGTGCTCTGCTCCCTGTGGAGTGTTAATACCGATTGAAAAAATTGAAATAAATCCCTTTTAATGTCACTAAAAATAATTTACAACCAATATTTGATGTCTGATGGGAAATGCAGGGAAAAAAATGTATTTAAGTGGGAGGGTTCATGTAACAAGTTAACCATCAGGGCCAACTAAAACAAATCTATGAAAAGATCTTATGTATTTTCCAGCAAGACTGCATCCCGGAAGTTAGCTATCCCCTCATTTTGTGGGTCTGTTATCACCCCCTGCTAGGGCTTGCCAAGGCCTAAATTGAAATGCAACCTTCTATTTCCTGATTACGTGATGTGTAGCAAAGGTGAAGATTTCCTATCCTTCCATTTTTCCATCTGTAAGTGGGGATTATGCACTCCCTCACCTTGGAAGGGAACATCATGTGGTCTCTCTTCTCACAGGGTCATCATAGAACTGAAATAAAAACAATCTATGTGAGTTCCTTTGAGCTGCTCAGTAGACATGGGCTGCAGGGAGGGGGGATCCTCCCAGGAACCTCAGTTGGGAGTCTGATGGAAGTCTCTCGTGGGCTGAGCAAAGCCTGATGCCTGAAGCAGTACAGCTGACACACTGTGTGCCCCACGGCTACAATGCGTTCCCACCCCCCCCACACACACACACACACACTGTATCCCCTGAACCAGCCACACGGGGATGGCCAGACTGGGCCTGGAATGGAAGGGCAGGCAGCCACAGTCTGGCCTATGCTGTTCCTATGGTCCCCTTCTTTGCAGAGAAGGGAGCCCAAAGCCAAGTGCGGGACAGTGGGTGGGGTACCCCTAGAATAACCCCAAGTGCCATCCTGCCCCTTCCAGTGCTGGCTTCGCAGTGGGGCTGGAACTTCCTGGGCTCCCATCTTGACCTTTGGATGGAATTTCCGGGAGCTGTTCTGCTGGGGGGGGGTGAAGGGGGGGTTCAGTTTCCTCCTACTCAGAGAGGGACTTGAAACAGAATCTCATATTCTAACTCTGCCCAGGGTAGCTCTCTCTGCCAATCAGTGATGGAATTGATGGAGGCAAGTGTGATTAAAAGCTGGAGGTAACTTTGCTGCTATAATATTCTGATGGCTGTTTGGTGGCGGGAGGCATGAGGAAGACTCAGTAATTGAACCGCTTACACTTGGAATTTGAATTGCGCTGGAATTGGGCCTGCGATCTCTGGTCATTGCCCGGTGAGTGGAGGATTTCTCCTGTGTGGGCATGGTGGCAGCCAGACTGCTCTGCAGTGTAGTGACCCCACATCATCGATTGGTTACCCTGCTCCCCCCAGAGCCATCCTCATTACACCCCAGTCCCTCCACCTTGGCCACTGAAACCTGCCATTGTCCAGTCCCCACGTTGTAACCTTAGGGCTTTAAACTCTTCTCTTTACCCCCAGATTAGAACAGACTTAGCCATCAGTTTCTTCCTCCCAGACGTCTCCCAGATCTGCCCCCTCCTTGCCAGTCTCATCCTCTCCAGTGCCAAGGACACTAGACCTTAGCACCGCGTCCTCAAATCGTTAGGGAAACAAGAGTGAACCATCCCCAATCTCAGTCCCTAATTTCACATCCAATTTTGCAGATCTTTGCCAGATTCTTCCAGGGGCAGCCTGTCATCTGCTTGTCCCTGCCCAAGCAGGAGTCCAGATGGAGTCCAAGCCCACCTCTCACTGCCTGCCCAGGTCCCCAGGCCCCAGCTGGGGCTCCCTGTCCAGTCCAACTGGTCCAGTCCTACTGCTGACCAGCCTCTCTCTGCTCAGAAAGACTTCATGTTCTGCCTCTGGCTCGCCCCTCGAACCCTCCCCCTGCCCGTTTGTCACCCTGAACTTCCCCCAGGTCTCTCCTCTCTAAAGCGGCCCCAGGTTCTGCAGTCAACAGGCCTCTGCACAGTTCATCTCTCACCAGACATCAGTGTCCCAGTGGTTAATGCTTAATTGTTTTCCCTCTTGCCTTGCTGTGCGAGCAGGTTCCATCTCCCACAGGCTGGGCGGCCCCGGAGGGCAAGGCTCATGTCTTATGTGGCTCGCCCGCTCCCCTGGGTGTCTCGCCAGGTTCCCAGAAATGGGCACATACGCAGCTCAAAATAATCACTCTTGATTTATGCAGCTGGATGCTCATAAATCAAACAGGCTGATGTCAGAGGAACTTTACCTGTTTAAATAAAAAGTTCTCCACCTACTAGTACGCAGTTCTGTCGCTCTGGAGACTTGACAAATTCAGAGATGACAGGTCCTTTCAAACATTTTATAATTGTTACTTTGCCCTACTTGAATCCAGCATCCTCCCTACTGGTCCTAATTAGTTTTCCTTTATGAAGATGTTAGTAATAATAGAAGTAGCAGTTTGCCTTTGTTTTATTAAAAAGCATTGCCTAAGTTAACCCTTCCTCCCTGAGCGGGCAGGGATTCACTGAGGCTGAGATTCCCCAGCTGGGGAGGGAGCCAGATCTTGCTTCTCCCCATTTTTGTGCCTCTGCCTCCCACCCTCAGTGCCTCGCCTTCAGCTCCACTTCCCACACCCAGGGACGCTCTGTAGTGCTAGTGACCGGAGGAGCTGTGTCCTCCAGCCTCTGTGAATGGGTCAGAGGTAACATGAGCCTTCCTGGAGAAAGTATTTTAAACCAAAAGCCAGTCTCTAAACTGGGCTGCCGCTGCACGCTGCTGGTGACAGCAGAACCAAATTTAGTGTCGTGGGCAGGTCCCCACTTATCAAGTAGAGAAGCTCATTTTTCTTCTAGCTCATGCAAAGCACAAAAAAATGTTCACACCCGCCACACTTCCACGAGGATACTTGTGACCGAAGGCGCGAGAATGTGCCGAGGGGAGCCTGGGAGTAGCCTCCGGGGCGAGGACCTTCAGAATCCCAGGCAGTGTGGACAGGGGGAAATTTAACTCAAAGTGGGCAGTGTTCCTGGGCCAGGCAGGTCAAAGCAAGCGCCTGCCTTGGGGGCAAGCGTCACAGTGGGAGGGGAGGGGACAGAGCTGAGCCTGGGTCACCCAGCCCTCTGAGGGGACAGCTAGGTCCTCCTTCCCTGACAGGTCACTTTATTTCCCCCAGCCTGCCCCAAAGTGGCTCACCCTCTGGGACCAGAAAAAAGATGAGTGACAGCCACAGAGTGGGAGGGGCTCCCCCAGATGTGGCTGGGGTTGTGCTACCACATGACTCAGGACTACGGGACCTCGCTGGACACTTTTATGGTGTGGAACACATTTTCCGCAGCCACCCTTCCATCTCACTAAGACAAGAGGCTCTTCTCAGTTCTGTTCTCGCCTCCCACCTTCTCCCCAACTCTTTTTTTTTTTAATTTTCAGCTACAAAGCCAACATACCATATGTGAGATGCCACCCTAGTTTCTGTTTTGTTGGGTTTTCTTGGAGCAGAGGAGAGAACAGGATCAATCAGCCTATCAGTTATATTCTGGGTGAGGAGTTATTCAAGAAAATTCTTTAAAACATCCCCAACTGAAACAGGGGACCCCCTTAAGGGTCTCAGCACCACAGACTTGCTTAGCTCCCATAGATTAGGTGCCTATGCCCACAGCCCTGGAGGCTGAGTTAGCAGCTCAGGAACACCCCGTGGCAGGCAGCTCCTCAGTCCCTCTTGGGTCAACCCAGGACATGCTGTGCCCCTGGGTGCAGGGGCCTTATCAGCAAAATCTGTGGCCATTTAAATTATTATTGTCCATAACAAAAGGTAAAACATTACTAAATGTAAGGAGAATTCATTCAGTGGGTGAGAAGGCCATGTCAGAGGTGGCAGAGGCTGGAGGAAAGCAGATACCACAGCTGCTGGAAGAGACAAGCAAAGGATTTTCCCCCAGAGCTTCCAGAGGCAGCCTGGCCCAGCCAACCCTGAAAGGGGGCTCCATCCATCACACTGAGTTTGAACTTGAGCCAGCAGCCACAGGAAACTGATACAGTAAGTATGTCTCACGCCATCTTTGACATATACTTTTACTCACAACATTATCTGTTATTTATCCAAAATTCTGATTTTACTGCACAGCCTGTATTTTTCGTCTGGCAAATCTACTTCCCAGGGCCAAAGAAAGAGGCTTTTGAAATTTGCAAGAAAACTGGTTCAGGTTGTGAGGAAGTGGACTTCCTCATGCTTCCAGTCTTTAAAAGCACAGTTCAACTGAACCAACTTGAACTTGACCTAACTATTCTCTGGATAAAGGAGGGGGGCCATTGGACAGGTGTTAATGATTTATTCTTTCAACAGTCATTTGAGCACTTCCTATAAAACAGAAGCTCTGGGCAAGGGTAGAGGAGTTAGCCATTAATCCAGTACATCTAGGCAGAGTTACAGACCGTTTCAGAGAACTCACGTGAAATCTCGCCATTACCCGATGATCCTTGGGTGCACTGCCGATAGCTGAGCCGCCCCTGGGAACCGTGCACCCTTTCTTTGTGCTGAATGAGACAGATGGAGGCGGGGAGGGGGTGTAGCAGCTTCCCAGCTCTGGATCCCCAGGAGGAGTCTTTGGTGGCAGTGGCTGCAAGATGTCCCCAACACTTCCTGTCACATCACGCTGCAGGGAGTGGGACAAGGTGCAAGTGTTAAGGACAAACAGGGCCCGTTGTCCCACCCAGAGGGAGCAAGGCGTGGCCAGGCACAGGCGGCCGGTGGGCTTGCACTGCCAGACGGTCCCGGGACCCTCCCTCAGATGTTTACTGATGCTCACAGAATCCCCAGTGCTCCAGCTTTGAGGGGCCAGAACAGTCAGTGTGTTCTCAGAATACCCACCTGGGATAAGAAAAAAAACGTGTAGTTTTCAGGAACAAAGGAAAAGGGCGGGGGCGGGGGGCAGACTGAACATACAAAGATGTTCGACCTGGCCCACAATCAAAGGGCTGTGGATAAAGGCACAGTGAGAGGACGCTGGGCCCCCCATGGCAAAGATCCAGAGGGCGGTAACGGGAAGTGGCCAGGTGTGCTGTGAGGGGCGGGGTGCGCCCCCACAGGTGCCTCCCACACCCCACCACCCATCACATGCATGTGCTTCTGGGAATCTACCCTTTCTATGTGCACAAGACATGGGGGTGGGGAGCCCCTGGGGGGTCATCTGTTAGGAAATAATCGCAGGGGCTGGTTCAGGGGTGGTCCCTGGAGATGTCGTGGGTCCATACCAGGCTGGCACCCCATGTTGAGTGCTGAGGGGCTTTGGGTCCCTCAGGTGCAGGAGGAAGGGTGCACTGTATGAGTCCACACAAGCCTCTCTCTGGGAGGAAAGACAGTAAGTAGCCTTGCGGCAGAAGGGGCAGAGGATGTGGGTTCACAATGGAGACCCCATTTCACTCTCGTTACTATTTTTAATTATTTAATTTCCCATGTGTATATATTACCTTTTTTTTAAAGTTCATTTATATATATTCTCAGATCCCCAATCACTTCAAAAGGAATAAAATACCTGGAAAAAGTGTTCTTTAAAAGGCCCCCGGTGGTGCTGGCATGGGTGACACCCTGATGGGGAGGCTCTGGCCTCACCCTCTCATTTTACAGATGGGCACTTCCCTGCCCTAGACAGGAACCTTCCAGATGAGCTCTAGGAAAAGAACTTAGCAGGAACATTTGTGTGTGTGTGTGTGTGTGTGTGTGTGTGTGTGTGTGTGTGTGTAACTGAGAACAGAGAACACTCCCTTGGAAGTAGAGGAGACAGAGAGAGAAACAAGGGGGAGCAGGTGCTATTTAAGTGGCTAATCCTTACCATGGCTTATGACAGACCAACCCCAGGGCCACCTGGTCCCCAGGGTAACCTGCATTCCCAGTGAGATCCCATGGACAAGTTCCCAGGGCCAAGCTGGGTGATGCGTCACTGCAGGATCTGACTGCCCAGTCCTCTTCTATCGAAACCAACTGCTGCTATTTTTTCTCTTAGTGCTTTCATACAAATGACCTCATTTCATCCTCCCTGCCTCGGCAGGCTTGGGGGCACTTCCTGTTTGGATGGAAGCTGCCATTCCAGAACCTCAGAGGTGGAGTGAGGGCGAGAGCCTGTCTGCCTGAGCCTGCCTTGAGGCCAGGGCCTGTGTGGAGTAACTTCTGTGGGGCAGGGTCCACAGAATTCTTTCAGAATCCCCACCCTCCTGTTCAGCCCCTCCCCACATTCCTTGAAGGCTGCAGCACCCTGGACCCTGCTCATTGGGGGTGCTCCCCATGCCCAGAGAAGCAGCAGGACATTTCTAGTCTTCTCTTTCCACACAGACAGGTGAGATGTCCTCACCGGTCCTCCGAGGGCAGCGCTTACATTTCGGTTGCCCGTGCCCCAAGGACTCTCCAGAGGACTGAGGGACACAGCCAGAGTCAGAATGTAGCATGACCCCAGGCCCAAGCATCTCTACTGCCCTTCAGCACAGGGTAGCTCTGCTTGTCCTCTAGGACCCTGAAATCACAGGACCTAGAGGTGGGAGAACCCCCAGCAGCTGCCTGCCCAAGCTCCTCCTCTGTCTCGCTGACAGTCACCAGACTTCCCTGTGGCGGCCAGTGGTGGCCTCATTAACCATCTGATAGGGTTGGGAGGGAAGAGAGTGGCCAGAAGAGAAAGATGGAAGTGTTGGGAGCAGCCCCCAAATGTGTGACATCCTTGGGATGAATCACCACCTTCTGCCTCTCCCCCTCTCCCGACACCTCCCTACTTGCTGAGGTTATGCTGAGAAAAACCAGAGGTGCCAGCACAAGAGGTAGGGACATTTTAATGGATACCAGAGCCACTTGAAAAAATGGGGTGACAGCCCAGAGAGGTAAAGTGACCTCCCCAGAGTCACACACAGAGACCCCTTGTAGAACCCTCATGGGCCACACATCCCCTCCCTCCAATGGCTGGGGCACCAGGAGGGGGCCCCAGAACCACCTGGTCAGTGGGACCAACCCGTGGTGGAGGCCTGGCCAGGAGGCAACAATATCTGAGACCCCCCAAAAATGGAAAGTAAAACCTATCAGGTGATGGAGGCCAGTCACTGGAACACATGGCCTGGTTTATGGGTGCATCCATTTGCAAGAGTTTTCCAGAACATTCCCACTTTCTTCCGTAGCATGGAAACCTCTGCTGAGGTCTCCCAGGGACCGCTTTCTTCACTGGTTTCGATAAATGGTTTTTGCTTTGCAAACGTGTGCTGGCCTCGGAGGATCCAGACCCATTGAGAGACAGGCAGTTCCCCCGGGCAAGTTGGCTAATGCTAGGACTTGTCCTCCCAGAGAAAAATAAAACAAAAAGCAAAACTAAAATCCCTCAAAGAATGACCTCGAGTCAAGGTAAGTTCCCTTTCACTAAAGCACCCAGGCTGGACCTTCTTGGCTGTTTCTGAAGGGAGGGGCTTACGTCCTGCCCTAAAACCAGCACTAATTTTCCTAGAGAGTGTCTGTGATGGGGGGCCGGGGTGTCCCTAGAGGAACAGCCTTCCCCTCGCTGAGCAACCAGCCACCATTCGCTCTTCCCTCAGTCTGCCTGAATAATAGAAGCGACATTTATTCCTGGGAAGCGTCAATTAGGATAATGAGGTTCTCCTTGCCCACGGAGATGAAGCAGTTGCCAGTCACAGAAGCGCGTGCGGGAAAGAATGGCAGAAACTGAGCCTGCCCAGCCCGCCCAGCCCTCCCGTGGGGCCCAGGAGAGCCTGGAGTGGCCTGGCCTGGCGTCCATCGTTGTTCTGCCCACTTCAACCATTTCCTCCCTACTGTCTCCTGAGGCCCCTTCCTTTGCTTTCTGAAGTCAGCCCATCCCACTATTAGCACAAAGGCTGCTAAGGGGCTCCGCAATGGCCCTTCCCCTGTACCTGCCGGGCCTATTCTTAGCCACTGGGTCTCCCGCAAGGATCATTTTATCATTATCGTGACTTACCAAAGAAACAGACTTGAGATGCACTTTGCCCACACCTTCCCGCCTTCCTGGGAGTGGGTGAAATGTGGGGGGAAGAGCCCAGCCTCTGGAGGAGGGCCGGCTGAGTTGACTCACAGCTGCCCCTTCCTCGCCGTGTCAGCTCGGGTAAGTAGCTTGAGCTCTCTGAGTTTGGCTCCTCAGCTGAAAAATGGAATAACAGCACCTCTCAGGACTGTGATAAAGCAGGGCGCTGGCATGAGCAAAGCAGAGAGCTGAATTAGCAGCTCAGGGACACCCCATGGCAGGTAGCTCCTCAGTCCCCCTTGGGACAACCCAGGACACACTGGTCACTTCTGTGCCCTGGGTACAGGGGCCTTGTCATCAAAGCCTGTTGCAGATGGGGCCATGGCTCAGACAGGTTTAAGGGGCTAAGTGTGGACCTGGGCAAAGGTCTGACTCAGACACACGCTCTTGACAAGATCTTTGTGGGCTTGCCTGGGCATCTGGCTTCCTTATACAAGGGAACCTTCCAAAAGAGCTGCAGGCAGAGAACACAGGTTTGGGGAAAGTTCTTCCTGGACTCTGCCTGCGCCTGCAATACACTGGGTGGTACAGCACAGGGGCCTCAGGTTCCTTTTGGGGTTTTATTTGGGGGATGAAGTTAGCTTTTCCCCAAGCCCTCTGCAGACCTGTCACCTGCCTGGCACTTGAACCTGTGGGCCAGCTGCCTGGCTGGAGTTGGCGGTGATGATGGTAATGGTAAGGGCCAACTTGTGTTCCTGGTCCCATGGAGACTGGAGAGCATGCTCGCCCCTCCCTTTTATTCTACCTGGAGAAACTGAGGCCCAGAGCGGCAGGATGACCTTCACTTAATCCTTCAGCTCCTAGGGGTCACACTTGGCAGCACGGCAGCCCCCCGGCCTCGAGCATGTTCTAGTCTGGGCAGTATTCCCTCAAAGGGCCTCCTGTCCCCAAGCTGTGGCCACTCCAATGCCATGTCCACTTGGTGGTTCAGCTCTGCCTCCTGGTCCTCCCACCCTCCAGGGGCGCCTTGGCAAGGATGGAGTGCCCACACTGACCCCGTCACCTCCAAATGCTTCCAGTGCCTGGAATCCCACAGACACAACTCCCCAGTCACCCCCTAGCCCACAGATCCTGAGGCATTGGGGCGACACTGCAGAATCCAGCTGCAGCCGTCCTATTAACAGCTGACTCTCCTGAGCTGCCCAGCGTCAGCTGTTTAGCACCTGGCACGCCTGGGTACTTAATAACAACCAGCTTCCTAATGAACAGCGAAGAGGCCAGCAGGTGGTAAATGTATGCATCTCTGTACAACTGTTACACAGCCATTACGGTCTATAAGGAATGACAGAGAAATCTGATGGCAGAGACTTTCACCCCTTCCTCCCCTTCCAGGCTGGTAAATGAAAGTTTAGCGTGCTGCCCCTTCAGTGGTCTTTGTAGTAGGATTTATAATGAAAGACCTGGGAAGGACGTTTATGTGCTTCTCTGTTTGGTTCTGCACATAAATTAGGGTCACTTCTCACTCGCTGAGAGGCAGCGCAAAGCAGGCCGTGGGAAATTTTCTCTTCTGGAATGGGCAGCCGACAACATCCCTTGCAGAAAAAAATCTCCAAACCGAGATCCGAAGTCCTGGCAGCCATTTTGGGACGTGTCCTAGACAACCAGCAGGAGCGTGGTGGCTGCTTAGCATTCTCCTTGCGCCTGTGGCTGGGGGCGTGGAACGGGCCCTTCCTGGCCTCAGCCTGTCAGGCCAGCATGCCCTGGAGGAGGGGTCACCCCGTCTGGAGGGAAAACTGGGGGATTGCTTAGTAAATGGGTGACAACACCTCACTGCCTAGCCCCAGGGACTATGCACAAAGAGCCCAAAAGAGCACCAGATGCCCACCCAGGAGACCCAGTGGGAGTGCAGGCCCAGTGTGACTAGATGATCCCAGCCTTTCAAGAGAAATCAGATACTGTATTTCAGTTAAATATCCCTGTTTTCAAGTGTAGGTGACTAATTTAGAAGCTTCAAAGCTCTGTAATATGTTTCTGGGATGTTTGTCCAGTTTAAGCCCCATCTGGAGCAATTGAAGCTAGACAGCAGGAAGAACTTCCTGAAGTGGGGGTTTTGAGGCCCTGGGGGAGGGGGTATGGTGTGTCTTTGGGGTATTTCAGTTGAGCCCGTGACCCTCAATATATATTTCAGACTGATCAAGTCCCCTCTCTGACTCTGTCTAGTGGCCAACTCTGTGACGCATTCCCAAGGCCATATGTTTTGCTCTTAAGAAGGTTGCCATGTTCTAGCTAGGGACATTTTTATCACAATTCCCAAAGTGTCCAAACAAATAATGCCTTAAAGTCCAAAAACGTTGAGCATGTCCAATTGAATGCCTGCTCTGTGCTGGGCACCCAGCTACTTGGGAACCACTCAGTCCTGTCCTTGATAAACTCAAGAGTCTAGCTAGGGAAACACACACACACACACACAGTGTTTGTACACATATAGTGAAGGTTTATGTTACTACGTTGAGGGATCTTGACATAAAGTTTCTCTTAAAAGAAAGGATGCCTAGAGCAGACTTTACCTGAAGCCTTCCTCCACCATTAGTTGTCTTCTATGCTGACTTAGGGGTTTTTGCTGAAAATGGAATAAGAACCCAGTTCAAAGGTGAGGCTGTTGGGACTGGATCCCACCGGGAACTCAGGCCAGGCTAGGATGGCTCCCCAGAACAACTAGGAAACAGTGACCCTTCCGTGGCCATCCTGGGTTTACCTGTAGGCCAGCCAGCCCTTGGGGCTCCTTGTGGTTCTGGGTTCCTCCTGAAAGAGGTGACCAGTCTTTCTCATTGAAGTCTTTTCTCACCCCTGAAGCAGACGGTAAGACTACAGTTGTGCATTGGCTCAGCCAGTTTCACCCTTGCAAGGGACCTTGACCCACCTTGACCAGCCCACTGTAATGTTTTAGTAATGGCTCCCTTCTTGAAGAATACAAACCAGTGTGGGGAGAAGAACTCATCTCTTACCTCCAGGAGGGTTATCTGCCTTGAGACAGTTTGACCTAGAGCTTCACTGATGTGGCCATGAGGTTTCAGGACAACACCCTGGAGCCAGGGAACTGTGTTCAAATCCCAGGTTTGTCCTGACCTGGGTGGAAATACCGTGGTGTCTCTGTGGGACAAGTTATCTGTGAAATTGGAATAACACTAATACCTGCTTAACAGGGTGGTGGGGAGAATGAAACTAATTTTGTATAATGCTTAGGACAAAGCCTTACAATGTAGCAAGTGCTAGCTGAGTGTTTGGATTTAAAAATAAAAGATCCTTGAGTACATTCTCTGGATGTCACAAGCCCTTCACCAAGCCCGTCTCCCTTGGAATCCAACCGTAGTTTTGCTTCACCTGGGGGAGACAGGCCCTGGCAGATCCCTGGGGAAAGCGACAAAGCAGCTCCCCAGGCCAGGACACCGCCCCGCCTACAGAGTCTCATGCAGGCAGCGCCCCTGGGGGTGTAAGTCACTTGTGGCTCCAGGGCCTCCCTGCTCAGCTCCTGGTAGTCTGCAGAGGCCACAGAGTCGGGGGCCAGGATTGGAGAGCGATGGGCATGCGTCCCAGCCTCCTCCACGCTGCCACTCCATTTCTGCTCACCCATCACCTCCTCTTTGAAGGTAAAAAGAGACCAAAATCCAGCAGAGCCAGGGGAGCAAGACCCCGGAACTCCATGACTTCACAAACCCAGCTTTTCTCCTGAGGTGACTGTGATGTCATGGCTGCTCCCCACCGTGCTGCCCCTGGGGGCCCGGGGGCCCCTAGTGTCCATTCTATCACCCAAGTACACCTGGGTGCACCCATCACCCCCTGCAGGCCCCACTCAGCCCACCTGCTGGGAATCAGGGTATCAACCAGGAGTTGCTTATGAAAACCACCTCCATGAAGTGACAGCACCGCCTGCAGGGCAGGGAACGGGCCTTTCATCTCCAAAGCTGAGGCCAGGCTTTGTCCACCGGTCCCGGCAGAGCAGCCCCGGCAGATGATCCGCTGCTTTCTTAGGTAATGGGTGGGCAGCTCTGGGGCGATGCTCTTCCTTCCCTCCTGCATCTCCTTAGCCTGAATCTGGGAGCAGGAGGCCATAGACCATCAATGAGCAGTGATCAGATTTAGTTTTGGCTTCAGCCCCGTTCCCTGCCTCTTCCTCTCCCTTCCCCTTGTCTCCTGTGTTGGACGTGACTACATGTGTGTGCACTTGTTGACTCATGCAGTGGGGGGGGCAGGGAGGGGAGAGGGGTGCAGACGGGGGCCCTGCAGGGTGGGGTCTCCTTGCTCCCTCTCCTGGGTTTCCACTGTAAGCCAGGTTTGTGAAGGGATCTCCCCTCCAGAGTCCCCAGGTCCTGACCTCAGGCTCCCTCCCCCATTTGGGCAAATTCCCAGGAAGTAGTTTGGCAGAATGTATGTTGATGCTTGAAAATGTTGCTGCCCTTTGACCTAGGATTTCACTTGTAGAATTCTGCCCTGAGGAAATAATCAGAAACATCAAAAGGATGTCCATCCAAGTGTTGTTTATAATAGGAAGTCTCTGCAGCCCAATCTCTGGGAAATGGTTATTGGAATGGTTGTAGTGATTAGAAAATGATTCTGTGGAATTTTCGGTGATTTGAGAAAACATTTCCAAGTAAAGAGCACGGAACAGACTATATTGTAGATTCAATATAGTCTGGACTATGTTTAAAAATGCACAGAAAAAAATACCAAAAAGGAAATACAGTGGTGACGTCTCCAGGGGTAGGATTATAGGAAAGTCCTGCTTCTTTATGCCTTCCTGGATTTTTTATGAAATCTCATTTTAAATTAAATTGTATACATTACATAATTATAAATGTACAGAGAGTGACGAGGAGAACAAATATTAACAATCGGTAAATCTAGGAGGAGGATATGTAGGTTTGATTATATTACTGCTGCAACTTTTCTCATAGATTTGAAAACTTGCTATGTGAAAACCTGGGGGAGGGGTGCCAGGCCACCCCTGAGCTCTCCCTTGGGATGCTGGAAATAGAGCCAGTATGATTGGACAATTTTAATTTTTTTCTGTTTTGGACAAATGGTCCTTAAATGTTGTGTGCTGGGAGCTGGCGTAATTGGGATTTGGGGACTCAGTTTGTATTACGCCCTTTATGAAGGAGGTAAGAGTCCAGACCCCCAGGGGTCAAGGTGCTTTGCTCAGCAGACCCAGATCTGTGTGCGTGTGGCCCCTGGAGCCTCAGTGCTAATTCAGCATATTCTGTGCCGGGCCAGAGTACACCGTGTGCAGCTCCCTGAAGCTCTTGCTCTGTTAAGGCCAGGCCCTCCTCTACCCCATGCCTTGAATTCCAAGCTTCCACCTCTCCCCTCCATTCAGGAGGCTTGCTTAGCTTTATTTTTTTTTCCACTTTTCCTGTTTCTGTCCTCTCCTTCTCTCCTGACTCCTTTCTGTCAGCATTTAGGTTTAAATGAGTCCCCTCCTTAAAACTATCGCCCCCTTCAGCCAACCCCCCAGCCCTTCTTTTCCCAGACAGCATCACTGACACTTTTACAACCTCCAAGACCTCGCAATCAGCCACCCCCCTCAGCTGAATCCAGGCTGGGCTCTGCCCTCTATCTTTCTACTATAATCACTTTCATTGGTCAGTAAGGTTAGCGTAAAGCTGTAGTAACAAATAAATCCCCAATTCCAGTGGCTTCATAAATCTGGCACTGCTGCTTCCCTCCTTTCAAGGGAGACTTAAGGGACATCTTTTAGTTCCTTGAAAGCTCTCTGTAGTTTCTTGTCTTGGAAACTTTTCTTCTGCTCTCCCCTCTGCTTGCAATGTTCTTTCCTGCCCTGCCCCTCCTTTCTGCCTTGCTTCCTTATACTCGCACTTCAGATGTCAGCTTAAATATCACTTTCCCCAGGATGTTTTCTCCAGCCCCCCAGATAACACAAGTGCCCGTGTTACCTTCCTGAGACCACTGACCTTTGCTCTGACACTTGTCTGTCTTGATTATTGACCTGCTTCTTCAGGGAAGGACCATGTCTGTGTCATTCACACTATGGCCCCAGCATCTGCACCCTGGTTGTCCAACTGACTACACATTAGAATCACCTGAGGAGCTTTAAAAACCCACAGGTCCATTGAATCCTAATCCCTCGGTGGACCCAGACATCAGTAGTATATTTTTAAAGCACCAAGAGAATTCTAATGCACAAACTTAAGAGTCACTGGCCTGCATTATGCTTAACACTCAACAACATTTTTTGGAATGGATAAATCCCTGGTAAGGGTATTTTCCTAGGTAACAACCTGGTCATTTTCTATTTCATGAAATTTCATATTTATTTTCAACCCAGCTTTATTTATGCACCTTACGTGGGGCAGGCTCAATGCCTGGGGAGTTTGTGATTATGCCCACTGTAAAGACAAGGAAAAGTTACTTCCGGTGAGGTGGGCACAAATAGACAGTAAAAGATTTCATAGTTAGGCCAGTGTGTATTTGTCTTTCTGCTCCAAACAATAGAAGCACAAAGAGACTGGGCTATACACAAAAGATAGTTCATTAGTTTCTGGATTTGAAAAAAAGTCAGAAATGGATCTGACTTCAAGTACAGCTAGATCCAGTCACTTGAATGATGTCACTAAGAATCTAGGGTGCACCCTTTTCTTGCCTCTACTTTCTTGGAGTAGTCTTTCCCCAAGTGATGGCCATTTTCACCATCATATAGTGTTCTAATGATTTATTCTTCGTTACCCACATTTGGCACATATTTGTTTAAAATGCCAGGATTATCTGGCTGTTGTTTGCTGCTTTGAGCACAGGCTCCCAAGGTAGCCAGGCCTGGCTGTTCAGCCCCCGCAGTATCCACTCTGACAAGCCAAATTCCTTCCTGGATAAAGTTTGACACATTTGCATCCACAGAGGAGTTTCTGTGTCTCACCTCCAAGGCAATTGTGAGATAGGCTGCATAAACCCCAGGATGCTTTGGGCCTGGGGGTTTTATGTTGTTGTTTAAAAGCTAAAGAAGGGGGAACTGAGATGGTACCAGGCAATCAAGGCTCAAACACAGTTTTGATTCAGGATAGCCTTGGAGGTGGCATTATAGTCCCATGTCACAAATAAGGAAACCGGGACTCAGAATGGTTGAGTCAGTTGCCCAAGATCACACAGCCAGTGAATTGAAGAACCAGAATTTGAGCCCAGATCTTTAGGTTCAGAGCCTGCGTTCTTTCCACTACCCCCTGGATGTTTTAATTTTCAGCGTTAGGCTCTTGACACCTGCCTCAAATCCCTGCTAAAAATGTGAACACTGTTCAGAAGTTTTTCTAGCATGGACTCACTCCAAACTCCCTTAATTTTGTTTTGTCATGGCTGTGGGGCTCCCCCACTGGAAGACCAGGAGGTAGGACATGGCTGTGGAGAAGGCACAGGGGCGCCACTGCCAGGGGTGGCCTCTGGTTTGCCAGGAGCATGACCCTCTCTAGCGCCTGCTTGGATTTCTCATCCTGCCTCTGAGACATCATCACAAACCTTTACATCCGTGAGCTTTACATTCTAGAACTCACTGTCACAGCAGCTGCTGCCTGAAGGAGTGTTTAAGAAAGGAGAACATTAACAGGGAGGAAATCCCGACTTTCTTGCAGATCTGTGGCTGATTGAAACTCACTGCCTGTTGAAGGGGTTTGTTCAGTCGCGAGGGCCACTTAGAAGAGTGACACCAGACCCTCGCCCTCCTTTCTATGACAGTTATTTTCAGAAATAATCATGGAATGATCCTAGTAATAGCCAGAAAATATAGATAATAAAATGTTTCTTTTCTCAAACTCTGAATATATTATGCCATGACTTTTTAAAAAATGAAAGTAAATATTATAGTGCAAAAAACAGGAAAAACATGCCACTCTATTACATCGTTGTGACATCTACCCGAGTTGTGAATCTTTGGTTGCAGTTCAGTGTGATGCTCTATTTCAATCCTTGCCTAGTGATTGCAAAGTGAATGTTAATAAAAGCGAGGCCTGTAAAAGTTGCCTGTAATTTTGCAACTACAAATGACAACCATTGAGCTACAGACTGTTAACCACGGGTTAATAATTGGGAAAGCAAAGGGAACACGTCTGCTTAGCTAATTAGGCTGGATGGGAGTCAGCAGGACCGGGGAGGTGACCGCCTGCAGTCACAGCCTGCCAGGGCTGACCGTCGGGGGGCAGGAGCACCCAGGTGGTGTGGAAACTGCATGTGCTGAGAACTTCCCCTCCAAAGAGGCCCTTCTATCCCCCAGAGACTGGGCAGCCCCTCCCAGATGCTGTCACGCTACCTCCCCCCTCCACCCCCCTCCAGACCCCTCATTCCTCTCATATAGACTTTGTGCTGCAGCAGCCTTTTCTCACGAGGAAGTACTGGCCAGGCCTCTTGGCAGCATCGTTACGTAACCTGCCGCTGCAGCTGGTCCAAGGATCGCCCTGGAGAGGCAGGCGAGGTGGACACACGGCCAGGGTTGGTTTGCTCGCCCGCCCCTCTCCCCAGAACACAGAGGCGGTGCAGGAGTTTGGACTGCAAGAATAAACAGCCCAGAGCCAAACCTTCAGGATGCGGCTCTTCAGCCTGTCAGTTCCCAGCAAGCAAGACGGTCACAGAGCCTACTGGCTCCTCCCTCCCCCGGCGGTGGCTCGGGGCTTTGACCGGCTCCCAGCCCTCAGTCTCACTGATCGAGGCTCTTCCAAAATGTCACCTCTCTTGACCACGTTCCGCCTCTGACCAGTGAGGCCCTCGGCCAGGGATGACCCCTGTGTCACCCCCTCCGGCCCGGAGGAAGGACTTTCACCCCTCCACGCCTACCAACCCTCACGTCTTCACTCAAGTTCACCTTTTCCCTGAAACCAACCTCTTGACCCCCATCTCCTTTCATTGCCCCTTTGTCTGCCCCACACCAGCGCCCAGAGTCACAGACTCGAGGGCAGCCAGTCTCTCTCCTGACGTGCAGCCTGGGGCTGTACTCATCTCTGCCTCCCCTCGCCAGCCAGGCCCTGAGACAGCAAGGG